GCAGATGAGGCCACGCCCACCAGCGCCATGGCTGGGGATGGGAGTTATTTGGCGCGATGGGAGTTATTTCACGACCGGAGGGTTAAATGCAGTTTTGACCCGCAGGGTTAGTCACCGTGTTCACTCCGGCCTGGCTTAGGTTATTGGGAATTAGTCCCGTAGGGAATGAAACCATTTGCTGAGAGGGAATTCATAGTTTATTGGGAGTTACTTTCAATTTTTACTTGCTCCAGCTTTAGGGAATATAGCCATTTCCTTGGGGAGAAGTAACAGTTTATTGGGGATTGGGCCCCTTAGGGAATGAAACTATTTCCTGCATGGGAATTCACAGTTAACTGGCAATTATTCCCTTAGGGAACTCACATTTTATTAGAGTTATTCCCAGGTTTTCCCTCCTTCCATCCTTAGCAAATGAAGCCATTTCCCACGGGGGAATTAATAGTTTATTGGGAATTATTCCAAATTTTCACTCCCTCCATTCTTAGGGAATGAAGCCACTTCCTGGGGGGGAATTCAGTTTACTGGGATTTATTCCCAATTTTCCCTCTCAATTTTCCCTCCTTCCATCCTTAGGGAATGAAGCCATTCATTCGTGGAGTGACAACAGGCAGTTTCACACAGCAAGGATGAGCTCTGAGCCCGGAGATGTACAGAACAGTGAGGAGTTTATTCCTACAGACCCTAAGAAAATTCCTATGGCACACCCCGCACAGACAGTTCCCGAGGTTGGAGCAGCTTGTTCTGCTCTCAGGTGCCAAATTTCTTCTGTTGCACAGGCAGAGGCAGTTCAGTTTTGAAGTCCATGATGGGTCGTTCCACCACGACCAGGCAGTTGTCATCCAGCAGATCCACAAAGAGCAGAGGCTATGGGGCAGGGGATGGGAATCATGGAACGGTTTGGGTGGGAAGGGATGTGAAAGATCATCCAGTGCTACCCCCTGCCATGGGCAGGGACACCTTCCACCAGCCCAGATTGCTCCAAGCCCCATTCAACCTGGCCTGGAACACTCCCCAGCAATGGAGCAGCCACAGCTTCTCTAGGCAACCTGTGCCAATGCCTCAGCACCCTAACAGGGAGGAATTCCTTCCCAATATCCCATCTACCCCTGCCCTCTGGCAGTGGGAAGCCATTCCCCCGTGCCCTGTCACTCCATCCTCTGCATGAAATCCAAGGATCTCCCTGAACTCCTCCCTGACACATCACCCACCTGGAACTTCTTGCAGATCTTGAAGGCGTGGAGCTGCCGCTTCCTGGCTGTCTCTGGGAGCTGCTTCAGGGTGCTCTGGTTCATCAGGAGAGAGCTGTCATCAGGCAGGGGCTGCAAGAAGAGCACACAGCACACATCACTGCCGCCCAGGACACCCCCACTCCCATACGGACATGCCATGGGCCTCCCCAACCCTCCCCCAGGCTCACCAGGGACTTGTCGAGGACGCAGAACAAGTAGAGGTCATGGAGGAGGATGTGTGAGGGGTTCTTGGGGTTGAAGGTGATGTGGGTGATGGGCGAGTCCCGCTCCAGCCAGGCACGGTGCAGCCCACAGCTCTGCACTGAGCGGCTCCAGGCTGTGTACTGCCTGTGGGGGATGCTGAACTCCAACAGCTGAGAGGCAGGAGAGGGGAGATGGGGGCTCAGGGGGCTGGTCCTCCTTGGCATCACCTCACATATTTTTTTTTTCAGTGATGGCCAGCTGGGTCCAGGAGCCAGTCCAGAGAGCCCTGAGGGCAGGGAGAGAGGCACAGGGAAGGGACCAGAGCCACGAGGGCTGGACCAGGAGAGCCCCTACCTGTTGGTCTGAGTAGGCGATGACAAGGTTGTTGGTGCTGGGGTGGATGGCAATTGCTGTCACTGCACAGCTGTACATGGGCACCACGCAGTGATGCTGCAGGAAGGACACTGTGCTGACCAGAGACCCCAGGGAAATCTCTGACACCCCTACCCACACACCACCCCAGACTGGAGCACCCAGGGACACCTCTGACCCCTCTTCCCACACACCACCCCCAAAGTGGAGCACCCAGGGACATCTCTGACCCCTCTTCCCACATATCCACCCCCAACTGGAGCCCCTGGCACCCTCTCTGAACCCCTTCCCTCATACCCACCCCTGGGACTGCCTCTGACACCACCTCCCACACATCTACCCCTGAGCAGAGACCCAGGCACTGCCTCCCCCTGAGGCAGGGGGGCAGTGGGGGTCACTCCTGCACCCACCTTGAAGCATTTCAGGTTGTAGACGTGGATGACCCAGTCCCCACCAACAGCTGCCAACCACTGCCCGTCCGTGCTCGACGCCAGCAGGTAAACAGCCTCGGAGCACCCTGTGGAGAGACCCTCTGGTTCTAAGGGATGCTGGGAGACCCAGACCCCTCCCAGGGGACACACACACCCATGTCCACCCTGCCTATTGCATGCCAGGCCATAAGGGCAGCACAAACATCCCTGGTAAAGACACACACACACCAGGGCAGGAAAGGGGGACACCCCATGACCTGCATCCATAGCAGGAAGGGGACATGGAGCCCAGGGACCCCTAGCACCTCCCCAGCTCCTCTCAGCCCACACCTGAGGGTGGCTGGAGCGTGTGCAGGTGTTTGCAGCCCTCTGGCTCCAGCAGCTGGAGGACATGGACAGATCCTTGAGCAGAGGCGACAAAGAGGCTCTCGGAGTCAGCAGAGAACTGGAGCTGATAGGCTGGAGGCACCAGCTGGGGCACTTTGGGGACCTGGGAGTGGGAAGAACATAGTCCTGGCAGCTACTCTACTACCACCAGCACTCCCTACGAGTGACACTGGCCATGCCAAACCCCGGAGCCATGCCAGGGCCCCACAGCTGCCCCACTGCCACCAGCACTCCCTGCAAGTGACCCTGGCCATGCCAATCCCCTGAGGCCATGCCAGTCCATTGTGTTCTCATTCCCTGAGAGTGACACTGCCCACACCAGCCTCCTGGAAGCCCAAAGCCACCACCACTGTGACACTGGCCACACCAGCCCCCTGGGAACCAGAGCCCCCCACCAGGGTCCTCTCACCCCCTCTCACCCTCTTGAGGCTGACACTGTCCCCGTTGCAGTGCACGC